AAGAATTGTGCACCTTTCAGCATCATCCCAAGGAGAACCTTTTCAGCTGAAGTCACTAACAACTCAGCTGAGGCTGAGGTGTGGATCTGATAGCTTTTGTTTAAAACAGTGGTGTGAGGTTGTTTGTACCTAGTTTTCTTATCCAGAAGTGTGGATTGCCTGCTTACTTGAGTGCTGGCAAGAGTACTTCTGGACTGGATTCTATTTCTCTCTGTTTCTTATTCTGCTCTGTGTAGCCTTTAGGATGCTGTTACCTGGACACTACAGCTCCTGGAGTTGTTTGTATTGTGCCTTTGCCTTGTATAGTTGAGACTGCCCTTTTCCGCATCCCTGTTTGTGTCAACAAACTTGTAACTCTAATACTCTTGAACCTGCAGCTTCTAGCATCTGATTGTGAAAATGTGACAAATATCATACAAACTTCGTCAGACTGTTCTGTTTTGTTTTTTGCTTACTGAATAAATTAATTTAGCTTTTATTCCAAATTGCAGGGTCTCCATTCTTTTTATTTATTTCCCCTTTTCCTTAGTCAAAATCTTCATTGGCCCTTTTTGAGAATTAGTTTGAACCAATACTCAATATCCTACAAGTCATTTAGTTAGCATGAAAGGAAATCTAATTACTATTTCTGTTTCAGTGTCTGTTGTTCTTCAATATGTTTACAATACATCTCAGAGTGTCCTGTGTAAAGCAGTTCATTGTTGATTCTCTGTACAATGCAGCAATGTAACTTGGTTATTCAATTGGCTTGTAGTGCTTTAGAGAAAGTAAGGCTGTTATCTAGGATGAGGTGCATTTAATACAGGAGGTGTTTAAGTCAAGTGGTGTGGCTTTCTCACAATGATCAGCTTATTAAGGAATGAAATTAATGTATAGCTAATTTAATGATGCAGAAAGCTAAATGAGTCATCTTGAGATAAATCAACAATGCTAGTAATAGAGAAATGCTGCATGTAGATTACTAAGTACCAGACTAGCCGTATTTACAGGGGTTGTGAATGGTTCATGGGTCTTTCAAAGTGGTAAATCTCTCATATTTGTACCAATTTAGTATACCTACCATAACATGGGGAAATTTGATTCTTGCAAGTAATGTTTTTAAAATAAGAAATGTCAAACTTTATCTCTTAGTACAAGAGTAATTAAATTTTTCTTGTCTTTTAGGCTTCCCAGCTGGGAAGCAAAAGTGTTAAAACAGCAGGGCACAGGTTCCTGAGAAGGAAAAAGGAATCAAGCCAGAAGTGCCAGGTTTTGCTCTTGGGGGCATGAGACCAGTAGCCATATTCAATTTATAGAATTATCTCATTCATAGCATTATAAAACAGCAAGAAAATTAAAAGATTGTAACAAAAAGACAAAAAGTTTTCCTAAACTTGTTAATATGGTATGTTTTGAGAAGACATACTCTCAAACAGATTGATGTCAAATAATGTTTGTGTCACATAGACTTGCAACAATCATGGAATTCTGAAATGGTTTCTTTGAATGGTTCAATCATTTATCTCGATAAGAAGTTTTGTTTTTGTTTTTGTTTTTCAGTAATCAGGGTCATTGTCCTGCCAGGTACAAATCAAAAAATTGCTGGCTTAGAACATTATTAATAGAGTGCCACATTTTCATTGTACCAAAGGGGGCAAAATAATATAATCAGCTTTAGAATGCTATAGGGTTAGGATCTGACCCACAATAGGGCCCTGTATAATAATCCTGGCAACAATCAATTTAGATCCAACTGAATGGGTCCAAACAATTCTTTTTGTGCCAAACTGGTATTGATGTCCTTAAAAGCTGAGCCCACAAATTAGTCCTCTTTTTCTGGCTAAAGGTGATATTTAAGCAAACATCTGATCATGTACTTTCAGCAGTTTAAGAAATGGGCTCTATCTCCTGGAAACAAAAGATCTCTACAGTGGTAGGTATGGGGTCTTCTACATTCTTGTTAGTACCTCTGGGTTATGAAAGACCAAAGCTAGTTCTGCTGCAATGCCTTAAAGATATTGAAATGCAGTTCCGAATACCTGAAATTTCAAGTTGCCTAGAATAAAGTATACAAACATTTAGCCTCTTCCCTTCTCAGCTTTCCAAAATATTTCATTGATTTGCCTTCTAGTAAGATGAGAACTGCATTTGCTTGGGCAAGGCTAAATGTTTTTCCTTTGGCTGACTATGGGATGCCTTCGGGAAATTCACAAGGAAGGCAGAGGAAGTTTCCCTTTCCCTTCTCCTTTTCCTTTTGGTAATATCTTATTACTAAAGACATTGCCCATTGGAATCAGATTTATTCTGATATTAGGAATGTATATATCCTTCCCTTGCTGAGTTGAATGATCATATTTTGAAAAGATGTGTTTTTATTTCATGACTCTAAGAAATATGTAACCTTTAGAACTGCATATTTTCTTGTTCTGGCCTTGCATGTGCAAACGAAGGCCAAGGGGACCAATGTAATACATTTAATATGAAATTGTAGAATGACTGGAAGCTAATTTGCTTACAATAAAGTCCCTTGATAAGAAGCTTGAAATTCAGCTATTTAGACATGTTGCTTAACCTAAAACTTTGAGGCAGGCTTTGATCACACAACATTGGGATCGGTTACCTTGAATCAACTACCTGCAAGTCATTGCCTGTAGTAAAAGCCTGATCACCTTCATGCAGACAGTTATGGGGACTGACATTATTGCTCTGCTTAGAATCCTTAATGTGAGATGATTGCTATATTGGGTATTCAGATCTAGGTACATATAAGCCTTGCATTTAGATATGTTATGCAGTGATTTTATACTAAAGGAATGAAGGATATGCTTTGAGGAATGCAAACTTGAGAATGAAGAATTCATGAACTGAAGATAGGATATTCTTTGTGAGGATTCTGAGGAAGTACAGTCATGGTCTTGATACAAAATACATTCATCACAGTTGGGGTGCATATCAATGGAGTACAGGGTTGAAAATGGCCTCAGGTCACGCACAAATGCTGTTGTGGGAGAAGTCAGAGGAATCAGAAATAGGACATGCATTGTGAAATGACCCTTTAGGATTCTTGAGTTCTTGTGTGTGTTTTTAGCTCAATTATCTATGGGAAGCAGCAAATAGATTTTTCTAAAGGGGGGGGGGTATTGACCTCCAACAAAAAATCACAGAGAAGGTGCTTACTGCTGTCATCCCACCCTCCTATGGGGTAAAGCCAGTAGGACCAGCACCCTAGTTTCCCCTTTACCCAAAAGCAATACCTGGAAAGCAAATGCAGCCCCCTCCTATGTTGACTTTCCCATGTGTCAGCTCCATTGAAGTCAATGTGATTTACTCATTGAAGATACTGAGATTTCCTTCTGAATAGACATGAATTCTCAGGCTTGAAAAGACATTGAAAACTTTATCAGAGAAGGGAAGGAGAAAGTTACTGTCCAGTTCATTGGGCAAGGGAGAAAGAGAAGCCAAGATGGAACATGCTGTGGGCAGGAAAGCAATTGAAGCCTGATGCCAGAGTCACTGCTGTTTTGCTGAGACTGCTATGCAACAGGTCCACCTGCCAGGCCACTGGACCCCTCCTCCCTGGCCAGGAAGCGTCCTGCAAGTTTGGCAACACTTGTGTGTCGAGGGCTGGGGTCCGGGAGTGGGGAGCAACAAATGAAAAATTGTGGCATAACGGGACCGGGGATGTGACGGCAGAAATAGCAAGGAGGATTGGTTGGGCTGACTATTACATTAGGTCACTGAGCTGAGCATCACAGCCTCGTGTGGAGGGCCTTATTATAAATCTCCACAGCAAGGGAATTCTGGGTTTGGCCTGAGTGGTCCGTGTGTCCTGGGCAATACAAGCCATGGCAGGGGACCACAGCCACAGCTTCTGGCTTGAGGGCTGAGATGCCACTGCTTCCCCGGGAAAATGGAGCCCTAGAGCCCGCTCATGGGGAGGGCTCCATTTGAATCAAATATCCGGTTTTGTTCAGAAGGCAGAGTCTGCGGGGTGCAGCACTCCAGCTGTGAAGCAGAACTTTTGCTGGGAAAGTTGAGAATGCATTTGCAAGCCATGCGGTTTTATATTTATACAGCAGCTGTTTTTAATGGTTTCTGTCCTTGGCATTCTATTCTTGCTATATTCCAGTGTGTTTTGTTGCCTGTCCTTTTCTTTCTTTCTTTCTTTCTTTCTTTCTTTCTTTCTTTCTTTCTTTCTTTCTTGGCACTGTTGACCATATGAAGAAAGGAAGACTGCAATTATTTAAAAACTAAATAAATAAAACTGACATCAGTGATCTCTATTGCTGTAGCTGAGTGGATCCAACTAGAGAAGAGTCAATTTCTCTTACTCCCTTGCTCCTTCCCCTTTTCTAGTGAGGTGAGAATGTGACTCAGCACAATTTTTGGCATATGTATATTGCACCCTATACATGTTTATGTGGATGCAAGTCCCCTCATGTCCAATAGGGTTTACACAATCCAAAACACAGAAAAAGTTCTTGAACTCCCAGCATATCCCAGCTAACATGGCTGGCTGGGAGTTGTAGGACTTCTTTATATCTAGGTAAGCACAGAATTGCAGCATGATCCCATTGATTTCACTGATTTTAAATATGTCCAGTTTGAATACTAGAATAAAAATAGGATAATATGTCAAATGAATATAATATTAGAATATAATATTTAAATATATTTTAGACAAATATAATATTGAGTACAAGAGCACGTGCTAAAAGTAGGCTTATAGTCCATAAGCCCTCCAATGTGCTGGTTGAAAATTATGCACAGTTTCTTGTAATAGCCTGATTCTATGAAAAGGAAATTGCATTTCCTAGTCAGAAAAAGTATGTGTTTGATGGGAAAATAGAGTTTACAGAGAAAGAAGATTCATTTTAATAGATGATTTTCATGCTATTCTTAACTTAAAAGGATTTTAAGAAGTATAACTGTTCACATCTCCACTTTTTAAAAAATATATTACTTTTTAATATACATGTCCGGTGTCATTAAAGTAACTTATTCTTTTTCTTGTCTAAAAGGGCAGTGACATCTTCATGAGATTCTCTTTTCTTCTTCTGAAAAGTAATTGCTTTTCAGCACAAGGCATTTGGAACTTGGTAACATAAGGTGAGTGACAATCGGAGCAAGTAATCTTGTGTTCCCATTACAGCGAATTAGGAAAGCGGCCAACCAGAAGAACGGCCCCCATGTCCGTCCTTTCAGCAACTTCCAAATCGAAAAAGGTGAGGCATTCAAAAAGCTCTGCAGCAACAAAAAGAACCTACGTTGCATCTTGGATTCCTTGTGAAGTAATGTAGTAGAAGGACTTTATTTCTAACTACACCTGACATGGAAAATGCATTTATTTTTCTGTCTCAAAATTTCTTTCAAAATCTTCTTTTCCCATTGAAGCCTGTTTCCCGTTGGTATGCATACCCATTTCTGGATCTGAGTGGGCTGGAAAAATAATTTGTGTTGTCTTGGATCTATAGCACATAAGAATGCTTTGAGTTCCATGACAGAGTTGCATAGTGGTTAGATTAGGACTGAGGAGATCCAGCCATGAAACTCACTGAGTAACACTGAAGCAATCTTTATTACTTCACCTAATAGGTACACATATTTCTGTAAAATAGTGTTGAGGACAGCTATGTACATAGCCTTGGGCAGTAGCATGTGTACTATCTTGAGCATTGGTGTCATGGATCCAGCACTCAGAGGGATCCAGTGCCGATATATTCTGATTAGCAGAGTCATAAACATCACCTTCCATTCCCTCAAAATTCCCTGTTTTTGTGGAACAGAAGAAAGATCATCAAGTAAGTTTTATTGGAGACCAAAGCCAAGATCATCCAAACTATTGTATTCCTAATCACACTCTGTGGCTGTGAAAGCTGAACAGTGAAGGAAGCTGATTAGAATAGAAATGGATGCATTTGAAACTTCGTGCTGGAGGAGAGCTTTAGGAACACCCTGGACCAACAGAAGAACAAATAAATGGCTTCTACATCAAATCAAGCCAAAGTTTTCCATAGAATTGAAAATGACAAAGCTGAGGCTGTCATACTTTGGACCCATCATGAGGAGACTCACTGGAGAAGACAATTGGATTAGAGTAAGTCAAAGGCAGAAAACAAAAGGGAAGACAAAGGCAGAAAACAAAACATGAGATGGATTGAATCCATAAAGGAAGCCACAGCTTTGAACTTGGAAGTGCTGAATGGGGTTGTCATGGGCAGGACATTCTGAAGAGCTTTCATAGGGTCGCCATAGGTCACAGATGACACATAACAGCAAACAATATATTGCTGCCAGAAGAATTCTAATTACTAATTGATAGTCACAAGGAAGGTGAAAAAATATTGTGTCATGTGGAATACTTGATCTTTTAGGTAATTTTTTCTGCATGCTCATCTTGGTTGATTATTAAGACATCCCTGATAATTTGCTTATTTTTCTCCGCGTCAAATGATGATGGACACATCATATTAAATATAAAGTATGCTATGAGGAAAAAGGTTTAGAAATTACATCATAAATTTACAATTATCCTTATCCTTTAAACACTTTTTCTGCCTAAACATGTATATGTTTGCTCCCTAAATTAATGAACACACAAGATCAAAAATGCCCATTCAAGGTAGCAGATAGTTTGGCCTGAGATACCTGTGAGAATAGAATGCGAACATTTAGGACAACCTGGAATCCTTCAAATTATCGCCCACTGAATCCATCTGCAGAACCTGGAGTACCCAGTCCAGAGAGTTGCTTTTGAAGAGATTGAAAGAGGTAGACATGTTGAGCCTTGAGAAGAGAAGATTGAAGGAAGATATGAAAGCACTTTTCAAATACATGAAAGGCTGCCACACACAAGAGAGCAAGGGACCCCATGGGCTAAGGAACAGTATATAAGTGCAATAAATAAATACAATCTCTTCTCAATCATTCAAGAGTGAAGGACACAGAATTAATGGGCTTAAGTTACAGAAAGCCAGATTCTGGCTCAGTGTCAGGAAAATGTTTGTGACTGTTAGAGCAGTACAGCAATGGAACCGTTTATCTAGAGACGTTGTGAGTTCTCCTACTCTGGAGGTATTCAAAAGGCAGTTGGACAGCCATCTGTCAGGGAAGTTTTAACCCTATGACCTTATAGGCCCTTCCAATTCTACTATTCTATGTTTCTAGAAATGGAAAAATAAAAGGGTAAACACAACTAGTTATTACAGAAACATCCAGGTTTATTGATTGCTTTGGTTTTATTGGCTTTATGCATTTCCAGTTAGCCTAAATTGCATAAAAGGTAACCCAAAGCAGATGTTTACACAATAAAATGCTTTAGCAAAAAGGCAATTCTAGAAAAAGCTCCCCTGGCAATTCCAGTTAGCACATCGCCACACTCCTTGGGAGCTTTGGTGTTTCCAACAGACTACACACTCTGCTAAAACCATGTTTGCATTATTTAAGGCCAGACTAAAACTGTAAAAATTGAGGGAATTGGCCAGGAAAGCACTGGCATATAGAAAAGCTCCAAAGGTTGAAAGAAAGAGCCTACAGGGGGAAAGGCCTCCATTAGATCATTGTGGGGGAAAGATGAGTGTTGATGGTATTTTCTCAGTTTTAATGAGGTAAATATAGAATTCAGGAGTCTCTGGATAATATTTTCAAAACCCACTAAGTACCTCAAAATCTTCGGTCAAATTGGTTACTTTGAAACATTGAGCATCAGCAAGACAAGAAATTTCTTAAACTTCCATCTTCAAGATGCTTAGTTCGGAGTATTCCTAGGGACTTTGTTCACTCTGCTATGGAGTAAATAGCCTGAGAAAATGAAACCTTGGTGTGTTATTTCCAGGCTTCATTTATATGGAAATGCCCTAGACTGAACTTAAGGGGACCTATTTCTATGCAATGCTACATTCTCAAGATTTTATGAAATTGCACTTTGCTCTAAACTTGACTGGAGCTTATTCAAATAAATACAAGATTTTCATGGTGTACTCCATTCTACATAGATGGGGCTTGTAGCACAACATCTAAACTATGAGGTATAAAAACTATATTTTAGCTCATGCATATTGTTTATGGAATACATTATCTCTGCATTGGAAAAACTTCTATAGTCTCCTTGGGTTTCTTTGAATCCCTTAGAACAGACAGCTCTAATATGATGTACAGCCTCAAAGACCCTTTGGAGCAGATACTGAAATGGGAAGAAAAACACAAATAGAGTTCTCATGGACTCCTAGTTTCCCACTGTTTGTCCAATTACCATGTTTTCTGTAGAATCACAGTCAATCATTTCTGACTCCCTGCACTTTATTGGCATAAGTTCTGGCAAACTATTCGCTTCAGTAACTAACTTCAATATGCACAGTTTTAAAGTATCCCATGTTGCAAATGGAAAATAGCCAATGAGTTCAAAAAGTACACACAGCAAACTAGCCATATTTGTAATTCACATTTATATCCAGCCCTGCCATTACATAGAATGAGATGGTTGTCTGAAGCGGGAGATGTTGGGAGTTGGAAGTAAGGTAGCTTGCTGATCTGTACCGTGTCAGATAGGGCATTTCAGAATCCCACCTCCACCTGAGTGGACAACTATTACAATGAGGAGTGTGTTGGCCTAAAACCAGTCTCCCAGGTGTGCTAGTTATTTACTTTATTGTAAGTTTGTGGGTTTTTCAACCCTCAAATGTGGCCTAAATCTATGGATAATGCCTCCAGATCAGGACAGGTTGGCAGTGTCAAACTAAACTAGATGTCTCTTGCTTACTGCACTCAAAGAGAAAGAGATGTACACATCATGGGAGGAAGAAAAGTTGTTTGGAAGTTGATAACTCTATTCCAGGATGCCAAGAGACCTGCCAGTGGAAAGGTCAGGCATACATGCAGATCAGTCTTCATGCTGGTGCCCTATTCAAAGCTTGCTGCTACAGGGAGTTTCTAAAATGTCAGCACCCAGCATACTGTTGCAAATGGAGCACATCACAATCCTAGAAAGCAATTAATGTAAGTGTTGTGGCCACTTCAGGGTCCCTCCTGAAAGAGCTCACATTTCCCCCGTCCTCTTGTCATTTTAGAAGATGCACATACCTGAAGTCACTCTTTCACCAGCTGTGTTTTAGTGCTACTGAGAACAGAGGTGTCTAGGCAGTGGGTGAAATCCAGCCCGCCTAGGGTTGTAATATGGCACTCTGGGCCTTTCCTGGCTCTCCCACTTTTCATTGACATTTATTTGTGTCCCGCCTTTTGTGCCATTTTCCTCCATCCTAAAAAGCTGAAAAGCCACTGCTTAAGGCTGTTACTGACAGTAAGAGTTCTAAGCAGGTGAAGATAGTGACTCTTATATCAGTGGAGCTCATCAGCTATTTTGAGCTTTATATTGGTGCTACAAAGTGGTGAACTTATTTAGGGAGGGGAGTTCAGTACCATGGATAGCTCCTTTGAAGTTCAGAGTAAGATCCATCATGGAAAAATTGCCCTGCTAACAGGGGAACCACCAGCCTCCAGTGACTGAGGCCCAAGTACCATGATTCAAGGTCATGATGGTTCACAAGGTTCACATGCTCATTACAGCCCACTGTGACTTATTTTCAAGCCATCTAAATTGATGCCCAGCAAATTCCACAGTTTAACTGCACTGTGTGTCAAACACCTTCCTTTTTCCCCCTTTTCCTGATTCTCTTATCATTCAGGCAGTCTTTATGAAAGCAGGAAGGAACTTGAATTTCTTTCTCCACAATAAAATATAGATGAAATATAGATTAAAAGGGATGCAGATTTATGGTGGCTCGACTGCACTGATGAAGATTTCATGCGTCTTCCCATGGCATCCCCCACCTCAAGACTCCAGAAAATACTACACAGATAAGACACAAAATGCTACTGAATGGAGTGAGATAGGGAGCATTGGGAAAGGGGTATTCCCAGATTTTGGGTGGAAGGGTATTCTGTGAGTGGAAGCCTTTGCCTTGTGAAAGGCAGATCCTACTATAAATTTAATAATAAGCTAAAGCATGCCAGAACACAAGAATGGCACTGCCAGCAATGAAAGAAAAGGAAATTTTATTGGGATGGGCATGCCAATAGTACTGCGTGGGCATTCTAAGGACATATCGCCCTTGGACATTCTGTCCTTAGGCATTATGTCAGCATAATGTTTAGTCCTGCAAAAGAAACTTGGTGTTAATGCTTCTTACTGTATACAAGTCTAGTGCTTCTCTAATGTAAGCGAACTATAATTAAAATGATGTAGTGTTGTGACTGATACACTATTGAAACAGAAGGTAATCTTGGTTAAGAAAGGTCTCTCTAAAGATAATTGTTTCCATATTTTATACCTAAAGGTTTCACAGGGTTATAGGAAGGATAACTTGTATAAATTACCATCACCAATGGAGTGTTTTTCATGGCTCTTTCATTTCAAATCAGCTGCATTACCCTTGACTTGCAACTCTTTCCCAAAACTGTCAGATTGGCAAGAATAATAGAACATTTGTTCTCTTATTTGAAAGACAGCAAAATATATATGCAAACAACTTTTGAGAAAAGTCTTTGTTTTTTCATGTTTCAAGTAAAATTGTAAATATTGGAAAAAGAGTCTCTCAAGACTAAAATATGTAGCAATATTAATAATAACTTATATAGCCAACACTAAAACATTTAATATTTAATTTAGATCAAAAAACAAAACATAAGAAATGCAATGCTGGATCAGGCCCTGCTTGTCAGAAGAGCCATGCTGTTTTTTCCAGTCTGGAATTCTATTCACACAAACCAGAAGGCCAGAGGAAATCCACAAACACAACATGTGTGCGACAGCAACTAGTTTAGCTAGGCATACAGCCTCTCGTGTATTTGACTAGCCTCATGGGAAACCCTCAGGTTTATATAATCAGAAATTTGGATAAACTGAAATGCTAACTGCAGAGGGTTATGTTGAAAATGGGGATGGAAAGAAGACCAGAAGAGCTGCCTGGCATACTGGTTCCAATCAGTCTTGCAGTCACCAGATGGATGTCTCTGGAACACCACACTGGACCCCTCTTAGTTTTATTTGTCTCTCTGTTTACTACATTTGTATCCTGCTCTGTAGCCCACGGGGCAATCCAGGCAGTTTACAAAATAAAAATATATAAACACTACAAATAATAAAAATCAGTTAAAACCAAGTACAACAACACTGACAACTCCTGGTGATTAAAATTAACAGCATAAAACAGTTCATATAAAAACAATATTAAAATCCACCCATCTCTTAAAGTGTTTGGCAAATAAAAAGGTCTTTACCTGGTTCCAAAAGGAGAACAAACCCTAACCCCAACCCCAAACTGTGTTGGGGGTGAAAGGGAGGAAGCTGACAAGGGAGTCTGCCATGTTATTGGTCACACTTACACTAATTAACAACCCGTAACACAACACACCGAGCAAAACCTGTAAGCTAGTATGGTCCCCTCAGGATGCAAGGGGCAGCAAAGGAACGCAACACAAGAGACCCCAGTGGGATCTTTGGCCAGTCCTTCCCAAGGGACCCAGAGCATCGGGAGCTTTACTTTCAGCTGTGGCAGCCAGTATCAGCTGAACCTGCCACACCAGGCTGTTGGCCCATTGTCAGGGTGCTCTTGGAAACCAGCTCACTATAGCAGCTTTGGGATCTTCCTGTGTGGCATGTACAGCATCCCTAATACTAAATTCTCCTTGTTATAGTCAGGCCTAAATCAGATGAGCTCAAGTTATAACTACAGATTGTTCTATTAACAATGGAAAGGATACACATGCACCATCAACGTAAGAACTCACAACCTTGGTTCAAAGTTATTGTTTGTTGCTCAACTGCTAGATCTAAGCCCTTGTTGTAAGT